ATCCAGAGCGTGGGTGAGTCTGTGGAACCACTGACCTGGTTTCTTCAACTGGTTATGAAAAAAAGGGGAGTGTGGAGGACTGTTCTAGACTAAAATGACCCAAGAGACATGAAAATCAAATGTAATGTGTGAATCCTGTTTGAATCATTACTTGAACAAACCAGCTGTACATACGAATATGGACTGGTTATTAGAAGTTATTAAGGAGTTTTTAAAGGTTTTGTTAAGTGTCACAATGGCACAGTGGTTAAAAACTAAAATGACATGTTTGACCTGAAAACAGGCTTTTTGTCCTAGAGGGCATGGTAAGGTCGAGTCAACAGCCTGGTGGACTGAAGTCACCCCTTCCAGAAGGAAGGAGTCACTCTCTCTTCTCAGATCCTCTATACGGCATGGGCGTATGTATTTCCCTTCCTCTATAGTGAGCTCCTTGTTTTAATCTTCCACACCCAGGATATAGTAGATGGCTACAAATACTAATAAAATAAATCTTAGAATGCAGCATGTTCTTAAAACCCTGTAAGAATGTTTTATATTGTGGTTGTCATATTTGAAAATTTCTTTTAATCTAAGAGTTGGGGCATTTCTGAACTATAAGTAAACAAGTCAACATTAAATAAGGAACATGTCAGCATTGGTTCAGTATAGCATTCAGGAACAGGTGAGTAAACGTGTCCTTTTCATCTGGTTGGATTGGCAAATATCTAATTAGGGTTATTAAGTGCCTGCCTCAAACAGGGGCATTAGTTAAGGTATTGCTAGCTGCTATAACAGGCAAATCCCCAAATCCCAGTGGCCTAACATATAGATATTTGTTTCTCACTTAACACAAAGTCCAAGCTGGATTCCCCCATCAATAAAGGGGACGAGGTGGGGTGGGGGCGGGTGGGAGATTCTGCTCCATGCAGTCATTCATGTGCTCACTGATGGTGGTTTTCAAGGCCACCCTTGCTGGTGTCAACATCTAGCCTGCAAGTCGGGGTAAGTGGAAGGAGAAATAGCAAACCTGCTTCCTAACACTGCAGGCTAGAAGCTCCCTACATTCCATGGGTGAGAAATAGGCACTCAGCTTCATTGACATGCAAACATGCTGGAATGTGATCTACAGTGAGGCAGTCACTTCCCGACAATAATTCTACAAGGGAAAAAAATGATCTTTTGGGGCCAGCTAATCATCTCCTTCACAGGTCGTTCTTTTAAATGTTCTGATATTTATATTTAAAAGTGGTATTAGAAGGCCTAACTATGCTTATCTTTATTTCATCCCTCATAAGATAATTAATAAGTCATAAGGGTCTTGTGAAGATATTTTGGACTGGTAGCTATAAGGAAATTATCTGCAAAGCTTTACTTAGTAAATATGTCTTTAGTCCCAGTTCAGAACGATTACCAGAGTAATTCACAATGGGTCTTCATTTCATACAAGGTATGTAGAGAAATTTCACAAAAACTTCACAAAGTTTTAAGGAAGAAGATTCTATCTTCTTTTAAGGAAGAAGATAGAAATAATTCTGAACCAGCTAACGCATTTAAGAAAACCTCATCTAGAGATGAAGCAATTCAGAGGAGAGTTGAGTTCCTCCACCAGTGTAAATTTATCTAATGTCTTAAACCTAGTTTCAAAGCAATACATCACTGGAATGGTTTTCTGTCTCCAACCTAGAAAAACAACACTCTCCTTTGTAGATGAACGTATGTCACTGATGTTTTCAATTGTTTCTAAGCCGTTCTTCAGCCCAAATATCTTTGTTGGGCTATAAAACCATATATGCAACTGCTTATTAGACATCTCCACAGAGCATCCCACAGGCACCTCAAGTTCCACACAACTAAACACTTTACTATAATAATTCTGCTTTTCTTTAAGTAGTTGTGCCTTGATTGCACAAAAACTGGCTTGGTGTTCTCCCACTTCCTTTCTCCTACCCCAGTTGTTCTCCTCAGGGGTAGTTTTGCCCCCAGGGGACACTTGGCAATATCTGGAGACATTTTCAGTTGCCTAAACTAGGGGAAGGGATGCTACGGGCATCTCAAGGGCAGAGGGATACAGCTAAATATCCTATAATGCACAGGACAGTCCCCTGCCCCCAACAAAGAATTATCTGGCCCCAAATGTCAATAGTGCCAAAATTGAGATACCCTGCCTTACTCCACTTCTTGTAGGTTTTACCTCCTACAGGGTGTCTTTCAAACATGTCCTATTTCCTCTGTATGCCTTGTTTCAAGCCTTCATCACCTCCTTCATGGATCATCACAATAGGCTCCGCTATGGTCTGAATGGTCGTGTCCCCTCCCAAACTCATGTTGAAAACCTAATTGCCAGTGTGATAGTCTTAGGTGAGGCCTCGTGGGGGGTGATTAGGTCATGAAGGCAGAACCCCCTCAAATGCGATTAGTACCGTTAACAAAAGAAAGCCCTGAGGGCTGCCTTCCCCTTCCCCGACATGAGGACACTGCAAAAAGTAGGCATTCACCACAAACACCTTGATCTTGGACTTCCCGGCCTCCACAACTGCGAGAAATAAATTTCTGCTGTGTGTAAGGCATCCAGTTTATGGTATTTTGTTACAGTAGCCCAAACGAACTAAGACAGACCCCCCAGCCCATTTTCTTGCCCCTTAATCCTGTTGCTCCCTTGCAAGGACATGTCCCCCACCCCCACCTCGCAAGCTCCCTCTCATCATCAACGTTAAGTGAAGTCCATAAGTGTCGACTCCTCCATGAAGCCTTCCCTGGCTGGCTTGTTCTCTCTCGTTCCCTTTCTAGTCTCAGAAGCCCTTTGGCTGACTGTACACAAGCCATCATTTGTCTCCACGACTAGATCACTTGTAAGAAACCTTCACATCGGCTTCTGTGAGCAACGGCACTTAACACACAGTTGAGCTGTGTATGAACTAACACTGGCTGGCTCTTCTGATCAGAACGGGAACGCGTGAGGACACTAGGTTGGGCTGGGTAGGAGGCAGGGCTGGAATCTGCTGAGTGGCCTGTGTGGCCAGTTACAGAGTTTCATTGTAGGCCTCATCGCTGCTAAAAAGTCCCGGGAGCTAATCCACCCTGATGGTGTGTTTGGCAGGTTCCACTACAAGAGGTACTCTAGTGTTTTACGGACTTGCCTTCTCCAGGTTTCAAGAGCTATTAATATAGAGAAAGAGAACTTGAAGAGGGCCACTGTGCTCCAGAGGACAAGTCAAGGTCCAACAGAAATTCCTGAAAAATGTGTTGACTCTGGCATTATTTTGATACACATTTGAGACTAGTAAATATGTTTGTTTAACAAAAAAATCAAATATTTTACCTTGTTTTTGCTTGTAACATTGTCAAGGCCACTTGTGAATCTAGCATTCTTCCCCTTCTGGTCCTGCTACATGTTGCTCATCTAACTTAAATATAATGCTCAGAAAGAATGCACCCAGTAGGGTGGAAGATGTACCCAAAACAACCTAGTTAGACCTGAGCTCTCTTCTCCCTCTGCCCAGTGCTGCCTTCTGTGGCATCACCGGAGGAGAAGCAGCACCAGGACAAGCTTTTCTTACAGGCACCATCTGACATTTTCATGATTAGCAAATTAATCACTGGAGAGGCTCTCTCTCTCTAGTATGTGTATGTACACACCCTCAAGGATGTATGTGGCAGCGCTACAACAGCAACATGTTGTTTACAACCTCCACATCTGTAATTAGTTTCATTAATAAATTATGGGATACCCACAACTGGCATACAAAATATGCATTAATATGCAGCCATCAATTACTGTACATAAATGAAGATTCCACACTGGAAGATATTCATGATACATTACTTAGTTTAAAAAGGCTATGGAAACCATATGTATGGTATCTTGTTGTTAAAACATACTTGAGTGCATGTGTATACGTGTGTATTTATATACACAGAAGGTCTGACAGGATATGAAAACTCTCTGGGTAATGGAATCATGATTTATTTTTCTACTTACACTTTTTACTTTTTTCCACAACATTTTCTAAGAAACATTAGTTTCTTTCTCCTGCTGATGAAAGTAATACATTTTCCAGGTTTTTGACAATGTGTATGTAACATGTAATGATTATTCAGATAAGAAACACTCCCAGATACCTGCATGGCTCAGTGCTTCTCCTCCTTTTTGTCTTAACTCAAATGATGCCCTTTTAGAGCAAACTCCCCAACCACCCCAACGAAAACTGCCCCCGCCCCACATCCTTGCTTTATTTCTCACCATTGACTGATCTACTGAGGGTATTCCAGCACTAGCTCCCCAGCGAGCCTCAGAGCCTACAACAGTGCCTGACACATAGCAGGCACTCAGTATTTATTTGCTGAAATAATGAATGAAACACATTTGTTTTACAAAGAAGTTTTGCCTTTATTAATAAGAAACCAGTGATGTTCAGTTTAAAATAACATTTTTTTTAAAAATGTCATGTCTTTTAATGTAATGCCAGCCCTTTACCGCAGGGACCACTTGGAGATGCTGATGAAAGCTACAAACCCCTTTCTTTCCTGCTCCCCACCCCCTCCCAAGCCCCAAACACACACACACAAAACTGAATACAATCAATCTCAGGAGGTTTTGAGACTTCCCTGAAATCTGTCCATAACTTCTTAAAAATTCCACCAGCCCTGGGGTGAGAGCACTTGATTTGAAGTGTCGTCTGACTTAAAATCATGATTTCTCTCCTATTCTAATGATTCAAAGAATATATGTGACTCAAATATCAGTCTTTCCCCTTCCTAAGCCAGTTAAATGTTAAATGGATTTCTTCTACAAAGAGCTCACTGCTTAGAGAGGGCTAAGTTCAATATTTGCAGCTGAGAACTTGATAAACATCCAGGTGAAAGCTGAAAAGTCAGTTAACAATCCAGAGATTTCAAAAAGTATAGACATTACTAGAGTGTAGTCAAAATATCTGGTTAAGTGAATTTATCACTTGTCAGTTGAAATTCTGGGGTCACAACCTGAGACAGAGATACAAAAACAGGATCTATTCCACATAGAGTATGCTTTTTGAATTTTATTGTTTAAAGAGCAAAATAAAAGGGAATAATGCACATCCACCAACGTGAAGTTTTCCATTAAAAAGAAATCAAATACTTTGTAATAAAGACCATCCAGCTAAAAGCAGATCAATAAAACAACAATAGCGATTTGACTTTGTGTTTTATTTCAATGAGCACACTTCATTCATGGTCTGTAGGAAAACTAGGCTAGGTCTCAATGGGTAACAGTCACAGTTATTGAGGAAGTAAATACGCCACCACTTCCGTGCCCTCCTTTATTTCTTTATGTCTTCAGTCTCTTCTGGCTCTCTCTCTTGATGCTCTCTTTCCCACCTCATTTCTTTTAACTCTTGTCTGTACTTCCGTTCAATGAACCGCTTCTGATGGGCCATCTGGGGAAAGTTATCTGACACAAGGAAATATATCTTATGCTTAATAAAGGATAGCCATGAGTGCAAACAATGATGCAAACTAAATATACGCACTACAAGCATATATTCATATGAAATGTGCATAGTCGTATTTTGTAAGGCAAGAGAAAGAAAATTGTTTTCTTCACTTATTTTTTAATCATTGAGAAACATATTGGAAGTATGAATCAGCACCCCTGATTCTAGATTTCAATATCTGGTGTGAACTCTAATCTAAAAGGCACCACAACATACAGAAATGTTAAAACATAAGATGTGTGGTTTGGGAATGTTTCTAATCAGATGCCTTATAAACTCATTCTCCCAGCAACAAGTGATTTTCAGGAAGAAGTTAAAGGATACAGTAAAATGGAGTCATATATTTTTGAAAAGCTAAAATCAAAAACTCCAAATAATGGTATTATCACACCATTATTTACCAAGAAGTAAAATTTCTGAAGAGTGCAAAAACAGATCAGGCAGACAAAAACAGGCTATAATGTATGTCATTATGTCTGATAATTAATTGTATTCTTAAAGTTTACTACAAGATGCCCAAAGTATATCTGCAAAAGTAACTCAAGTAGAGAACTTTTATTTGGTTAAAGGAAACATATCACTTAATAGTTTTGGTTAATAGAAACACATCAAAGCTGTATTTAGTTTGATATTTGACCCCATGCAACAGTGTTGACACAATAGAAGAAATCTTGATTAAGATTTAAAAATTTTTACAATTCAGTCGTCATTTGTGGTGTAACTTTGGTGTCATAATGAAGAAATCAAATACGGGATGAGAGAAACTCATTTTATATACTTAACACATACTTAAACAACAAACAACATTAAGGGGCGCATGCATGAATAAGAACTACACAAGTTAACTGTTGTTAACAGAGAGGGAAAATGACGATGTGTTATGAGCCTAACCAGGTAAGGGACTGTTCTAGAGAAGAGGTACTACTTCTTCGTGTTTCAAACATGAAGAATCCGAGATGTGGGAGAGCATGGCCTGTTTGGGGGAAAGCAAGTTTGTTTAAGGCGGAAGCGTCAGGAAAGTAGATCTATACATACAGTAGCCTTCTGTATCAGTGCTTTCACTTTCTGTGGTTTCATTTACCCGTGGTCAATCATAGCTTGAAAATAGGTGAGTACAGTACAATAAGATATTTAGCGTGAGACAGAGAGAGAGAGAGAGAAAGCGAGCGCGCACAAGCACAAATGCTAATTATAAGTTGCTATTAATCTCCTACTGTGCCTAATTTAGAAATTAAACTTCATTATAGGTATGAGTATATAGGGAAAAACATAGCACATACAGGGTTTGGTACTATCCATAGTTTCAGGCATCCACTGAGAATCAAGTATCCTCCAAGGATAAGGGGGGAGCTACCGTGTAATATATTCCTAAATTCCTTTTCCCCGATTTCTTATATAGTTTGACATCCTCACCCTGGGTTGGAGAAGGGACAAGGTCAGGGTGGTAGGAAAAGTATCTGAAAGACTGGTGGTGAATCAGCAAAGACCTGGAATGTCTGAGAGTCAGTGATTTTAAACAAAAGAGAAACAAGACATCTGTATTTTAGAAATAAAATAATAAAATCAATTCCTAAATGATATTAAATTGACTCCTTATATAGTATATAAACCACAGGTTTCAAATATAATTAATTTTTTAAAAATAAATAAATCCCAGTACGTTTTCTATAAACTAACTTGTAAAGCAAGTTTCTACAAAATGAACCCTATTTCCTCAGTAAGTTCTACCGTAAAATTGAATTTGCATTTTTAAAAAAACTCTACAACTCAGCTCTAAGCATTGACAAACTTTCAGAATTTTTATAGCTTTTCTTCTATGCAGTAAAGTTATTTTACATACATATACAATGTCAATGTGCACATATATTACCTGCACATATGAACATTTAAAATCATTCCCCTATTGACTCTTATACTGGGAAAGTATACTACAGGTATGTATTTATGGGTACCCTTTTTTCATTTGTTCTAGTATAAGTATTTTCCCATATCATTAGTTTTCAACACCATTATTTCAATGGCTATAGAATATTACAATGTTTGGATATAGCTAGGGTTGGTAAACTACTACCCACAGGCCAAATACAGCTCTCTACCTGTTTTTGTAAATAAAACTTTTAATAGCACCCAGACACGCCCATTAGTCTGAATCCTATCTATGCCAGTGGGCTATAGTGGCAGAGTTGAATAATTATGACAGAGATTGTATGGCCTGGGAAGCCTAAAATACTTATCATCTGGCTCTTTACAGAAAATGTTTGCCAGTCCCTGGGATATCCTATACTTTGTTAAACATTTCTCTACTGTTAAATAGGCAGATGTTTTTTGTTTTTGGGGGTTTTTGCTCTTTAAATCAAGTTGTCACAATTATCATAGTATATGAACTTTAGTTCATAACTCCAATTATTTCCTTAGGTTTGATTCCCAGAAATGAAATCTCTGGATCAAAATGCATTAACTTCAGTAAGGACCTGATACATAATACCAAATTGCTTTCTAGCAGTTTAAACAATTCACCTGTCTCAGAACAGGTGATCTCTCTCCAGTACTGTTTTATAGTTGAAAACAAACAAAACTTCCAAAGATAACCTTTAACAACTGATAACTAGAAAATGGAATCTTCTTTTTATTTCAATACGTGCTGTTGCACTTACGTACATACAATGGATGAAAAAGTTCCCAACAGTCAACTGAAAACTTTCAGTGAAGATTTCAAGGACACTGGACCCTGGCAGCACTAGCTTCTGTCCACACTAACTAACCTCCCTGCCCCCAAACAGGAAGCTATTTTCTGCTGATTTCCACTTGGCTCGTGGCCCTCTTGTCTTTCCTGGAATCTCTCCCATGCCTGAGAATCTGGGCCTCTTCACTTTTAGCTTCCCGTACTTTGCTTTCTCCCACCTCATTTAGCTGGGTACTCGAAGCATAATAGAATTGGATTGTCATTTTGTGCCCACAGGTTCTACTGTGCAGCACAATAGACCTCAGAAGAAAAATCTCTCGCACTTAAGCCTTCAATTTACAAAAGACTATGCAATTTCCTACAAGTTCAATTATGTAATTAAGTTTCTTCAACCCAGGCATCCCATTCTTGGGAATCTATTGCATAGAATTAAAAGCACCAATATAGACAGAGATTTATTGTTGACAATGATTTAAAAAAAAAAAACAAAAAACACCAAAAACCAGAAACAAAGTGTCCACCAATAACAACAACAAAAATTGAATAAAATACAGCACACCCATAGCAGGAAATATTATGCAGCCATTAAGAAAGAATGAATTTGAGCCATTTTCTGTGATCTGCAGGGCTACCTATCACCTCCTACTGAGCAAAAAAAGAAAGGTGCAGAGAAGTATGTAAATAACATCCCATTTAACAAAACAACGGCTGAAAACTAAAAAGAAGAAAAAAACCTTCACATGTATATGTCTATGTTATAAGATTTTACAAGTATAGAGAAACATATGGATGGAAACACAGGTTATACACACAGATTCCTGGGCTGAGAGTAGGACTCTATGCAAAAAGGAAAATGAAAATCAAAAAGCACTTGGGAATACTTTTATTTTTAAATTATAAGCCCATTTTATCTATATCTCACATGCTACACTACTGTGTGGAGAATAATTATGAAGAAAACACGATCACATTTTATCAGTACTTACCATTTTTTTACTTCCTCATTTTCTTTCCATAAAACACTCATTACATTATGAACATATAATTATTGAAAAAGAGATAGGCTTACATTTTTCAAGTGCATCCATTGCCGCTCCCATTTCTGCTTGCTGAATACTATTAAAATAAAATAAAGGTAAAGCACACTTGAATTTGAAGGGTTTTTTCCCCCCCTCGAAAACACAAGGTATGGCTACAAATTATTCAGACTGAATTTCACATTCAGGGCTTAGAATTTCATCTGATTACTTCATACACTGAATTACACAGATAGGCATATACACAAAAGCATGCAGAAATGTCATTTGTTTGCACAAAGCCCGTTTAAGTTATTCATTCCACATTTTTAATACTGCAATAAAATGCCCTTCCCTTTTTATCACGTCTTAAGTATTTCTTACTTAAGTTTGAATGCCTTCAGTATAAAGTTTAAACAGGAAAAGAATAAAAAATATATAGATAGGCTTCAAATCATTTTTCAGTTTAAGATATAGACTGGAGAGTTCAAAGAAAGGTGATAATAAACATAATTCTTTTTACCTAAAGATGTTAGCATTTCCACAAAGCTTAAGTGAATGGCGATAAGAAATCAAATGTCTAACGGCTATGTCGTATGACAGGACACGTGTGACATGTCCGGCTTACGTCAATGTGCACTCTGTTGGGTAACTAACACCAGACAGACCTTACCTGTGCACTAGGTAATGCAGTTTTCTCAAGGTAGCCAAAGCCCCATGCACAATGGCATTCCAACCATCCAAGGCCAATTCTCAAATCTGGGGCCTGGCATGGGGGGGACATTAATCCTTGGGATTCACTTTGCTATTACTCTGGAACACTCTATACTCTAAGTTAAAAAAGACAGACTACAGAGTTTGGAAATACCAACTAGGGACTTAGACACACGGGACGCTCATTTGAACAAACTAATATTCTCCTCATACCTTGGTCCTTTCCCACAGCCTATTCTCTCTCCTTTGAAATAAACAGCCACTGTGTAGGTTCTCGCATGGGATGGCCCCACGGTCTGCAGAGTTCTGAAAGGGAAAGGAAAGAACATGAATTATGATAAAGTGTTATTTGTTATGGCTACTAGGTAACTATGAGAAAAATCATGTACTTATTGCCTAGATAGAGGAAGGTAAAATTACATGAAACATGAAAATGGCAGAAAAATACAAGGGGTAAGTGTTTAATCTGCTAATCTGACAAAGCTTTTGAAGTAGAAAAATTTTAAAATTCTGCACTGCATTTTTATATTTTTTCCCCAAAGTAATATAATAAATAACATCTAAAGGCTAACAGTGAAGTATAAAATATTTTTAAACAATTTCTCAGTATCCATATTCCAAGTTTCCTAAAATTCACAAACTTTTAATGTGAAAAGTTAACAGCTTCAGTCTGTTTATTGTTTTTCAGTGCTAATCACAGCCCAAAACAATAAATATTTGGGTAATATACCTCAAGTCACACCTGAATGGTTTTATGGATTCTTTCTAATGTCTAGTATCTTATCTAAAAGATCAGAAAATGTATTTAATTTCTGAAACATCTGAGATAATTTCAAAGGTATGCTGCAATGCCAAGTACACAACACAATCGCCAAAAAACAAAGCTCCAGGTACTCTCGATTTTAATGACATGGTGCAGATTTCAAATGCAGTAAAACTGATAACTTCATGGAAAAGGGAAATTAAAAGTAGCCAACAAAGATAATGGAATGAACACAGTAATCTTGAAAAAACTATGTAAAACAGCCCTATCATCTTGATAAAAAAGAACAAACTCATCTTGTACTTTCATTTGGGGGATTTATGAGAAGGGAACATAGCAATTTCCTTTGTGTTTATATCCTCCACGGGATAAAAGTGCACGGGTGGCTTCTTTAAGGTAGCGCTCATTATAGTAATCATGCCTGTGCCATGAAAAGTTTATCGTCCTCATTTTATTTATTGAACTTTAATTATCACTTTGATGAGGAAATACTTTGAGCCTTTCATATAATACAGTTTGGATATTCATTATGCTTATTAGGTACCTATTAAAGTGATATTTCTAAACATTTGGGTTCTTTTTCCCAATAAATAAAGGAAACATTGTTTAGCGGTGACAGCTTCTAGGCACAATTTATAGTTGCTTGCTGTGGGGTGACTCAACTCTCCCTTGGCCTTAGTTTTTCTTTTAGCTAAAAAGCCTATAAAGTGTTGTGACTATTAAATAAAAAGATAAAAAAGGATTTAAAATTCCCAACTGCCACGCTGATGTTTTCTCTTGAGTATTTTGAAGTTTAAGAAAGTCTAAAGGGCGGCTTTGATTCCACATGGAACAAACACACAAATACGTGTGCTTGCAACCCGGTATGTGCATAGACGGGGTAAAATAGTATTGAAATCAAATCTTTGAACATCCTTAAAATCACAATACCTTGAGATACAACCGACCTATTTCAATAGCCCTTTCGTTCTGCAGTTTCCTCCTTGAAACTACCTTCTGAATCAACATGAGTGTCTCAAAATAACTACTCTACTTCGGAGCCAAACCTCCTGTTTTCATCAAAATGGTTGTTACATGGTATAGTGACTCAATTCACCTACATTCCTTTTGAATGACTTTGGCTACCACTCAAAGGATAAGGATATTCAAAAGTACATGGCAGCTTTTGGTATACATTCTGAGAAGAAAACTTCCAAATATGTGAGTAACAGCAGCAGTGAGCAACTGTCCTGCTTCTTACAGTGACCGCCTGAGGGGGACAGCACATCTGTCAGGCAACACAGACAGGCCAACAGGGGTTCGAGGGAAAGTGCAGACAGGCATCCAAGTATTGCCAGAAATAAGCAGACACCATCTTCCATTCTGGACACACAGCCCAGCAGAGGGTACAATAAGAAAACAAATATAAATATGTATATAAAACTATTTAATCCCAATCTCCTTATCTTGATCTCATAATCTTCGTATGTCTCCCTACCAGGCAGTAGTTCACAGAGACTTTTAGAAATGGGAAAAAGCATAGAGATAATCGAGTGGGACCCACTTATTTATGGCTACAGTCACACTGACAGTCAGGAAGTCTTGATCCTGGCTCTTGTCATGATTACCCCGCAATGATTATCTTTCCCTCAACATGCATGGAAAACCAACCCTACACACACTGGATCCAATGGCCTGTGGGCAGCAAGTACTTACTTATACAGAGGAATGTCTGGCTCTTTTCCTTCTGTCCTAAGTGTCAAGCAACACTGCTGAAGCTGGGATTTGGGGTCATTCCAGTCCTGATTCAAAATGAACTCCTGTAATAAGTCCCCCAAAATATTTAGTAGTGCATTCTGTAATTACCAAACAAAAAGCATACACTAATTTAAACGTTCTATGAGCTTACTTTTAATCGTGGAAAGAAACAGACATTCATGAAAGTATGAACATATTCCAAATCCTTATCAATGTACAGCGCTGCAATAAATGCTGAAAAAAAGAACATTTTAAAATAAAGCACAATTCATTGCCATTTTGCAGACAGAATAAGAGACCCAGACTTTCAAGCAACATTTTAATAAGATTTTCAACTTCTGAGGGCCCTCTTTAATATTTAGCATTATCATTTCATCTTTCTTCAAATCAAACAAGACTCTACTCTCTATCATTAATATCAGAAGCAGCAACATAGATGTGTAAGATGCAAATCATAGAGTACAAAGACCAAATTATATTTAGCTAAGGGCTAAATGAATAGCTAGTCAAAAATATACACAAAATGCTGCTGCATAGCAAAGAAAGAATGCTATCTGGGAACACTACCATGTTATGATATCAAATAAATCAAAACACAACCTGCAGATCAGATATGATACCAGAATAACCACATCTGTGGGTCTTGCCATTCTCAACACCAATCTTGAGGAAATCATTCATTTTATAAGGGTACTATGTTAAATTTCATAAAGAGAAACAGGACAATTTATAGATTCAATCTGCCCAAATAGAGAAACACTTAATACTGGGCTTGATGACAATATAACCATCTATCCAATTTTTCATTAATAAATGGTAAACCACAAGATGATGTCATTAAAAATACCTTAACCAAGTAAATAAATGGTGCATTTTTAAAAGAAGGAATTAAAAATAGCTATAATTGAGCTAAAAAAAAATGCCAGTGAGACTGCTCTCTCGACTTAATTTTTATGTAATTTTCATCTCTAAATTACTTCTCTTTAGTTGAAAAAGTTCTTTTAAGTTCCTTAGTCAGATTGCCTTTGCACTTTGTAAATGAGCTGGTTTTGCATGGTAGACTTTGATATTTGAATATAATTCCAATTGTCAAAAATACCCTAACATTAAAAAAAAGTTCTAAAGCCCAGTGAATGGCCCACTTATTTTGAAGTAATATCAAAAACAATACAATTATGTGTATAATCCTTTAGTTAGCTATAATAGGATTATTTACAATGCTACCAGACCATATCAGAAAATGCAAAAGATGACATTTGTCCACAGAGTTTTGTGCTCATTCAAAACAATGGATAACAGTTTTAGTATATAGTGAATAAATTGCCCTTCTTTCTTCTGTGCCCCTACATGAAGGCTGCTAGGTGGCAAAAAAGCTATGATTTCATAACTACCAATCTTCATATTCTCTTATTCTTTCATACAAAGAGATATAATGGCCGAGTGTTGGGATAGAGGGGTGGGGAATGGGGTACCACTAAACATAGACTGAACAAAAAGTCCATTATTCACATGTAATTCCAAATTATTCTCATTCAGACAAGCTTTGGCGAAAAGCAAAATAACTAAAACAGAAAAGAGGTTTCTTTAGCCAGAAAATAACACTAAATAATAACAAGAAGGAAGATAAATACTGGTTGATTGGATTTAAACTTTGAACCTGCAGATAGAAAGAAAAGCTTTACTCTGTATGACTCACATTCCAAAAGGTCTGCCAAGGTCTTGGTGCGGAGGGCCACCGGCCTCTTGGTTTTGTCGTTGGTTATTGCATACTCCTGCATGCCCAGCTCCTCTGCCACCTTGGCCTGAGTCCTGTTATTCACCAAAGAGCTTCGTAACAGCTGGCCAAAAGGAATCAGGGTACATTTAGAAACCATCTCACTTTTGGTCTCTTTTCTTCCTTCTGGGTTCGACCCAACAAGCCTGAGAGCATCTCACTGACAGGGACACCAAGGGAAGTGATGGTCTAGGTCCTCAACCATTACCCTCAACAACAGGGAGACACTCCATACACTGCTAGAGCTTCTTAATAACTTACTCTTCTCTGCTATCCCAAATTTTACCTAAATGCACTTAAACTGCTCATTTACATCTTCAGTAGCAGTGGGGCAGGGCTGGGGAAGAGGCTATCATATGATTAAAGGTCATACCTTCTTCAAGTTTAATGCTACTAAATGAAGAAGCATTAAAAGTTTTAAAAATCAATTTTATTGAAGTGTAATTTACATTCAATAAAATGCACCCATTTTAAGTGTATACAGTGAGATAAGTTTTAAAAACCATATACATTTCTATCACTCGAAATTACCTGAACTCCTCTGCAATCAACCCTCCCCAACCCCCAACCAGGCAAACTTGGCCTGTTTTCTGTACATTAGTTTTAAAGGAGCATGTTTTTAAAGTCTAAAAAAAGCTTCATGTTTAATGGCACTGGTGCTAATTTTGATATTACAGGATTTAGGGAAGTGATATTTAGCAAGTATTATAGAAAAGATTTAGATTATTTACATATTTATTTTAATTATTATTTTGAAGATCTGTGCTATCTACCTTGAGTCTTAGGTTTTCATACTGATATCCTTTATCTTTAATCAGATTAAAATATAATTTCCATATTTCAACTTTAGAAATTCAAAGCAAAAATTTCTACTAGGATACAAAGACAGGAACTCACCAAACAAAAATTGAACATAATTAGCCCCGATCTCTAAGATGTGAGGAAATGATGCACCTAAAACTACAACTTTTCCTACAATAGATATAACAAATTCTTAGTCTATTAAAAAACTTCCTGCTAAGACACATTCCTGAAAACGGGGAAGAGGAGCAGGAAGCAGCTGTGAGTTGTGCTGGTGCTGTACCCCTGCTGTTCCACATAGCACTTTGTTTATTAGATTCAAGTTTTATGCTCTGTGGCTCTACCATGTCAACAGAGCTTATGAAAATCAAGATTTATTCTCAATGTCTGATATTGAATCCTTGACAATAGATAAATAAGAAACAATATGTTCTTAATTTGTCTGACAATGATTCATGAAGCAGAAATATAACTTGATCTTCATAAGCCATGCTTGCTGTTGAGTTTTAGACTATTATTCTTTGCCTATCTCTGCTTCCTTCTTCCTGTTTCCTTCTTAACTGCATCTTTTCTTCCATATAGTGTTTCAGTAAAACAAATATCCACAGAGGAGCTCAAAATTTAAAAAGCCTAGCATATAACATTAATAGAAGACCTAACTAATAAGGAGCCCACCAGCCTAATATCTTATAAGTATGGAATAAGTGAACTGGAATGGATATATCTTTTTCGGTTTGAATTTCAAATGAGGCTGGGGCTGGGCAGTTCTTAAAGCAGAGGCTGGGGGGAATAGCAGGGCTATTTTGGGAATATGGCCATGCTGAGCAAGTTGGGTCCTGTATAAATATATGCTTTCGGTGTGGGCAGAAAACTCTTCAGGCTATGTGGATGGAGTATTCAAGCCTCAAACCAACAAGCCCAATGCACACATGTGCACACACAAATTATGATACATCACTGGTTACCAGCCCCAGCTGCCACCTCCCTTGTCAGGGCTCCTCACTCAGTGCTGTACAGTAACGCTGTCTGACAGGGAAGGAGGAAAGCAGTATGGATGGAAACAGAAATGCTTCCAGTTTTATTTAAGACAAGCCCTGACAGGTCTTAAAACAGCAGGGTGGCCAGTAGAAAGTGAAATCTGTAAGTTCTTGCCAAAATCCGAGTGCCTGAACCAAAAGTCAGTGGGGGAGAAGGAAGCTATAAATCACCCATATTTTCGTAGTCAGTTTAAATTTAGAAGATGAGTTGAAAAGAGATAAGACCTTGCTCTTTACCTAGACAAGAAAGTCTGAATGGCAGTTCTTTAAATGACAACTTTCATCCTTGTCCTTTGCTGAACTCTATTTCATAATGACTCATGTTATTTGCCAAAGAATGAGATCCAGGGGGGATCAGCAAGGAAGAAAACCTTCTGAAGTTATGGCAGCGCAGTAGACCAGCAGTAGAGGCAGATTACATGCCAGGCCTGCATTGACAGCTAAAGATCCGAGAGGATCAATGTCCTGTTGCTGTCCTTGGAAACTGACAGCCTCCTGAGAGGCCACACTCAGACTGGCCACTGAAATACACTGTGGTGGCTGCAGTGCTTACACAGAGACCACAGGTACACACTGGCCCAGGAAGGCCTCCTGGACAGCTAACTCTTGAGGAAAGAAAGGCATTTCAGGGCCTCATCAACCTGGATAATTATCATCAACCTTATGATAATCGCAGAATCATAAGGTGCTTCTGAGACACTGGTGTCCAGGCTTCTTCCAAAAACCAAGGAATCAAAATTTCTGGAGATGTAACTTGGACATGTGCTTTTTGAAAAAATTCACGTAAGTAGATTCTGATGAACATAGAATCAGAACTTAAAAAGACTGAGTCAGCCAGGGAGAGAAAGGTGGGAAAGGGCTTTCCAGGAGAGGAGAGAACAGCTGGCAAATGCAAGGCCATGGCACAGCAAGGTAACAGTGGGGTGGACCTGGAGGAGAAATCAGAGCCTAGTGAGGGAGAGCTGATGCAGGCAAGGCTGGCAGGTGAAGTGTAGACTTTCCTATAGGAGATGAGGAATCCCAAAAGGTGTCAATTGGGAGCAGTGGAGAAGTAATTTTTTTTTTTTTTTTTTTGGAGACAGGGTCTTGCTCTGTTGCCTGGGCTAAATTGCCTGGGCTAAAGTGCATAGCTCATCATAGCTCACTGTAATCTCAAACTCCTGGACTCAAGCAATCCTCCTGCCTCAGCCTCAAAGTACCTGGGAATACAGGAACCTGCCACTACATCCCAGCTAATTTTTCTATTTTTTGTAGAGACAGAGTCTCACTATGTTGTTCAGACTGGTCTCAAACTCCTAGCCTAAAATGATCCTCCTGCCTTACCTCCCAAATTGCTGGTATTACAGGCGTGAGCCACTCACACCTGGCCAAGGTAATTTTTTTATTTTGGAAAGATCATTTTGGTGGAAGGATTTAAATGGGGCAAGACATTAAGTTGGAAATGTCTTGTTGCCATCAACAGATGTTGATGTTATAAAAGTACTATTTTACAAAGAGGAAATATCTATTTTTATTTTTTAGTAGAAATCCAGAAAACCTGCATTAAGCACCCAATTGAGCCTGAGACAGTTATCAAACTATTTTGCAAAAACTGCTTTGTGTCAGATATAGTAGTAAAAAGGCAAAAGATTTGGCACTGAGCTGCCTGGGTTCAAATTGTGGCTCCAGCACATCCTAGCTAAGTGAGTTTGTATAAATTATTAAATCTCTTGAGCCTCAGTTTCTTCATCCATAAAATGGAGAGAGAAGTACCTCCCTCACAGGGTTGTTATGAGAACTAGAATGAATAATATATAATCTAATTACTGTGACTGGTATATAATAAAGACACCAGAAATGTTAGCTGCTGTTGTTATCCACAATAGCAATATCATTATAAGGTAAGATAAGCTTACTCTCCAGTTACAGGGAAAGGGCTCAAGAAAATTCTAGGAATTCCTCTGGATTTATATTCAGTGCAAATTGTTCCAAATACCTATCTACTCACTGTCTTCAAAGCTCTCCATTTCACAAGGTGCTAACCTGTCCTTAGCAATTTTTTTAATCTCCCCCCAAAAAGCAAAGTTTAATTTGAAATCACCAGAAACAATGAAAAAGCTATAATTAGGCCTCTCTGTAAACCTGAGAAAAGGATTACTGAATTCCTGATGCAATGTCAGGGACCAACATAAATATCCCAAATCTGAAATTCTGGTTTTGAGAATCCAGGATGTTTTCTATTGCCTCAGCATAGCAGTCTTTCACAATCACTTTAAACTTAAATCTTCATAAGAAAAAGGTTTATTGGTTTAAATCAAACATACACATTGGCATTCTTCCTTTTAACTTCCCTATTCACTCTTGATTCTAAAAAGAAAAACCACACTTGTGGGAAAGAGCTACCAAAGAGGGCCACCTAGTGTAAAATAAGTAGACTGTGATTTATTATTTTGAGGGCTTTAATATAAGAACATGGGGTGAAAGCAGAATACACTATTAAAAGTGACAGTGATGTGCCACACAGGTCTATTATACCAAGAGTGGCAGCCAGATGGTCCCCATTTCCTGTGATAACTAAAGAAAAGGTACACAAATGCTAGCAGGCAGAATACAGGTCAGATACAAAGAGCCAAATTATGTCAGTGACAGAGAAATCCTCAAACAGGAGGCTATGGAAACCTATCTTCTCAAAAAGATCTTTTAGATAAAATACCAGTTTGTCTGAATGATTTATGCTCAGTGCTGTCTGAAGGCAGCAGGGCAGGATTAGATCACTGTGCTCGAGCTTTTTATTGGTAATCCTTGTTCTCTTTCTCTTTATCCCAAATCACTCCTCTAAAAACAAACTTCTACTGGCTAGTGTGTGCCACCATTGGCTACAGTGCCTTGCACACAGTAGGCATGGGGATCAGCAACTATTTTTAGCATACAGTAAAGGCTAAGAGAAGCACTACACAGAGGAAAAACTCCTGCAGCTTAAAATTTGCAAGTGTCACAAGACCGGCATTCTGACCTGAGTAAATGCTTTCTTTGAGATGTTCTCACTACTTACCCCTGACCCTACTGCATAGGTTCATTCTAAAAAACAAAAACTTCAGTGTACCAAACAGAATCTCTTCCTTCTACATCCCAATTCAAACTCAGTTATCCTAGAACAATTCTTTTTTTTTTTAACCTTCATCCTCTATGTGATGGTGTTTTTTTGTTTGTTTTATCCTAGAACAATTCTATGACCCTAACATTCCTT